GGGGTAAGGGGGGGGCAGGCAGGAAGTGGTGGGGGTGGTGGTGGTGGTTGAGAGACTTCAGAATGAGGCGGCGTCTATCGATCATGCAGACGGGGGCGCGTCGCGACGCCAACGTGAAAAATGCGACAAGTCGAATTGTGAGGATACCTTCGAAGTGGGGTAGATACACCGGAAGTGGGATAGGGATGGAATTTGATGAGGACTTCCTGTTGACGAAATTAAGGGATGCGTCGCCGCCTTCGTTTTCTCTGCTGGACCATTCACGGATTTCGTCTTTCTTCGTCACTCCTTGACAGTCCTGATAACTTGTGAAATACCAAGGGGTTGAATTACTTTTAATTCGGGGGATGAAATTACGTGTAATCGTGGTAGACGAACTCTAAGGGACAGTCAGACGTAATTTGATTATCGGAAAAGGGAAAGCCAAGAGCATCGATAGGTTATCGTTGTAGGTTAACGTAATTAAACGCCTTTCATGTGCAAATGATTAATTGATCACGTATATCAATCTTATTGGTAATATTACTGCTTACCGTACAGAAGGTAAAGTCTTTCTGGAAATGGGACTGTTTTGGATAATCTAGTCCTTGATTTTTGAGCTATCGTCCATTTTAGTGGAATACGTAGAAATTCGAAATATTTGACCGCCCGACGATATCACTAGATTTTGCCGCGAAAACCAGGGAGTAAGTCATTTTCGATCGCGGCAACTTCGGGTCTATTTGGGATTGGAGATACTGTACCCCCCGGTACATTGACTGCATACAACATACCCGTACACAGTACATAACCCAACTCGAGTACGTAGACTCTCGATCTTGCGAAGCCTTCAAGAGGAGGGTGAGAAAGGCCACGAGGGTGAGAAAGTCGAAAAATAAAAGAAAAAGATTCAAAGGATTTCGTATTGCAAAATAAGTAACAGCAAAAAAAAAGTTTTCCTACATCGAAAAAAACAAACGGCATCGAAAACAAGAAAATCCTAATTTCAGATCCAGATGTGCTGGAAGCCAAAATAAAGGTGTATAGATCCTAAAAGGGTTTCGGCAATAGTTCTGGTCATTTGGCAAAGAAAAACGGCATCGAAAAAAAAAAGAAAAAAAAAAAAAATTCAATTTCGCAACCAGCGGTAATTACGAGGTCAGAATCTCGTGTGCTGAAATCCAAAAAAAAAAAAAAATACCTGGAGTTCCCTTCGCATCCCACGCAGTTCCGTAGGTCCTGATACGTTTTTCCGAATCTCGATATTTAACTCAATTACAAGACCGCAGTTAACGATCGCGTCTCGCTCGCCACTGCAGCCACCAGTCTCTTGAGGTCGGTACTCAACCCCGTGGAAAATGAGGTCAGTAGTAGCAGAGTAAGAGTAAGTGCTTGCCAGTGGTAGCAACAGCAACATCAGAAGGGATGGTATAGGTATCCCTGATGGTAGAATAATCGGTACACGCAGAGATCAGTAGGGAGATGCACAACGCTACGGTTTTAGGCGATACCAAAAACATGGCGCTAAATCGTAGCGGCGAGTCCGGGAATAGAATTTTGTGATCATCGCCTCCGTCGATAATGCAGATCCCGTCGTAGCCGAGCTGAACGTGATCACGGACGGGTAACCTGGCGGGCAGAGTCCTCCGCTACTTATCGCTGGTTCCCAAAGCAACACTTGGAACGAGACAACTCATCGGATATAGCCTAAATACTTTATTTCTTTGCAATCCTAAATTCGATCGCACAGTGTGAGCTCGGTAAGTTTAATATGACAAAAGCAAGCAACTCGTGTCTGCCTGCACTGAAGCGTATGATGCCACAAGCATATTTAATACATATATTACCGATGTTGCGTAGCAGAACGATTGTTGAAACCTATCGGGAACTATAGAACTTCTCGAGAACTATTGAAAAAGCCTATTGTTGAATCATTTTCAAGAGATTTTAAAAAAGTGTATTTTAATAGTGAGTCCACAGTGTTCCTCTCTCGTCGGTGCGCTATAAACGCGGAATTGGCAAAATCCAGAAGACTCGCGTGGACGAGGAAAAATTATTTAGCACACAGCGGAATCTGCGGTTGATCACTCGGAAACAAGTATAGCTGGAAATATAGTCAGACACTGCCGCGCAGCATGGGAACACTTTCCGAATGCATCACCAAAATCTCACACAAATATAAGTCAGATCTATGCTATACTTCCGGTATAGTGTATAGTATAGCAAATTTATGGCTTTCAGCATGGCCGCTTACATAAATGATTATGGTGAGTAGAAAAAAACAAGGAAAAAAGAAAAAGATCACTTACCCCAGGATCTTCGTCTGCCTTTCCCTTGTCCATTTGTATTGTTCATTGGTCCAGTACATCTTTCGACACTCGAGGTCCACTTTGGTGACGACTTGACGATTCCAGCCTTGGCCACTATTTTGCACTTCCTGTATTTTCGGTTGCGGACTAATTCTTCACTTGTTACGAATAGATCACTACGCGAATTTCCGCGAACTTTAGATAATGCCTTCGCGACGCACTTATTCAAACGTATCACTTCACTACGTCACACTTTTTTCCGTAAATGAAGGTAAAAGATAAAGAGTATAGAAAGAGACGTTTCGCGACGCACTACGTCACACTTTTTTTCGTAACGGCAATCGTTCGCATTTCAGGATACCGTTGACGCACCCTGTAATGCTCCTAAAGCGTACGTTTCCTTAGCACAGCAGGGCTCTAAGTGCGTCTCTCTCGCACGCATACGGATTATTAAACTTTTTCTACTACCTATAACTATATCACCTTTAACTTATAACTATACTACCTATAAATGTTTTGAAAAACTCACAAAAATGGTGCCTAGACCCTGTACCTACTACGCACTAATATTGAATTTAAAAGAAAACTATGAAGGTACAAACGATGGAACGCAGTGGAGATATACTAGAGACTATACTCTTTCGAAGGGGACTGATTGGAAAGAGGTACAAACGATACTTTCTTGAAGAACTTCAAAAATTGGTGTCTGAGCGTTGTACGTGCTACGCACTTAACTAGAATTTCTATAGTTCCTGATAGGTTTTAACACTAAACATACCGTCAATTTTTTATAAACGTATTTTTGGCTTTAAAAGGGTCAAATGACCCGTCGGTGGTACGATTAGTGTTAACAACAGTTTTGCTACGTAACATAGTTAAAATACCTATTAAGGATACTAGTCGCACCATACGCTTCAGTGCAGGTATGCATAAGGAGCTGGCTTTCAGTGTTGTTTTTCGATTGTGCTTCAAACAGTTCCGAAATAGTTCTCTCAAGTACTCAATGTTGGGACCATAGTTCCGCTTGGATCTATTGTTGAATAATGATGGAAGCTAGCACCACATCGCTGCACTCCTTAACGCAGGCAGGCATAAGGTGCTGGCTTTTGACAGCACCTTAACAGATAGTCTTAGTAAATCTTGTCGAGCATACACTGTACATTTGAATTTAAGATTACAAAAAAAAATATTTAGGCAATATCTGATAAGCGGCCTCTTTCTAAGGGTTGCTCTGGGAATCAGTCGTAAATTGTGGAGAATCTCTGCCCGCCAGGCTACCCGTTCGTGATCACGTTCAGCTCGGCTACGACGGGATATGCATTATCGACGGAGGCGATGATCACAAAATTCTATTCCCCGACTGTCGCTTACCAACGCAGTGAAACTTCAATAAAACGTCGTACGGCAATCGTCTGCATTACCGACACTCGCTCCAGGCAAGGGTCGAAAAGTAGTCTACGGCCACTCCCGACAGGGGGTGCTGACGGTCTGGGGGACGCAGACCGAAACCTAAAGACCAACGTAGGATCTGTATCAAGGGGTGGTATAGTAGCACCATAGGGGGGTAGCAGACTGAAGTTGATCTTCGGGCGGTGGAAAGGTCGCCCTCGCACGATATTACTGGTCGGCGCACTAGGGGTTGCGCGCATCCCCTAGCGGTGCGTCGAGGAGTGGCAAACCGTGGAGAGGAGCGGCGACGCGAGGAGAGAGTCCTTTCCCTGCTTCGGCAGGCAGGCAGGCGGTCAGGTCAGGCAGGCAAACAGGTTGGAATGGTAGCCAGACGGACCGAGGTAGAATTTAGAAAAAGAAAGGGTGGATCCAGCATCAGCGAGATCCATAAGTGAAACGCGTGTGTCTCGATCCCTAAAATCGACAATGTAATTAAATATCAGACCGAGAATACTCGTCCACGTCGTCCTGCCGAGGTCAATCAGAGATCTGACCTTTGACACAGCCCGTAAATCCTTGACGTTTTGGTACCAAAGAAAAGAGACCTCGTTACGCGTTGTGGAAATTGCGTGTAATCTGGCAAGCCGGTGCGCGTGGTTGTCTGGAGGTGTCAGGGCGTGCGATCGCTTCCGATTGTTGGGTCAGAAGCGCCGCGACGCCAAAGCACGTGTGCACGACGACGCCGACGCCAAGGAACTTTACCAGAGGAACTCGAGAGATCGGACCTGTCACGGATTCGCAACAGGTACGTAAGGGGACCTGATAGAAAAACAGCAGGGCGACCCGCTGCTCCGCATGGTTACGGCAGGAGAAGCTCAGACTGGAGAAGGCTGGTCCACGGAGAGCGACGAAAGGCAGGTAACACAGCAAAGGAGTATAGCTGATCGCGAGGACGAGAACGGTGGGTCGCGCTCGGTGGCCCAGTGCGGTACTGAAGGATCGCGTGACGTCACGCTAACGAGTCGAGTCTTCTTTTTCTGTCTCCGTCGGTCGCGTTATCTCGTCCCCCTAATCGCTTCTCTCTCGCACTCCCACCACTCCCCGTCGCACTATCTCCTATCTTAGTCTTACCGTCTTGATCAGCTCTCCGTCACTGTCTCCCGCAACTTTTCCACTGTCGCTATTTCCCGCCTCACGTGCTCGCGTGACGGCGATACCTTCTCATCCAGCATTCTCGATGTTTTTATGATAAAGGCCTATACCCACGGCAGCGACAGGACCTGGCACCTGACGTCGTTAAAAAATATAAAGAAATTACGACGCACGACGGACCCGTGTACAAATGTTGCTTATGAAATTTTCTTCAAATACACAGTAGCGCATCGAGTCAAAATTCAAATTTCTTATCGATATATATATATATATATTTTTTTTTCTTCAAATTTTTTAATATCAAATCTCGCATCCCCCCCCTTCGCGAAGCCCAGAATTAGTGGTACCATTGGGAAGTTCCGCTTTTGCGAATTCAAGGCAATTTTCACAAAGAGGGAATTGGCATAGTGGCAGGGAACACAAGATCGCCAATGTAGGGCAAGAGAGTCGTCATTCCAACCCCTAACCCACCCCCCGGACGTAGAGAAGCTAAGGCACGTGTATAGCGGAAGCCCAAAATATTTTTCTGAATAATTAAATAACGGCAATACGGCAAAGCAGCTTCAAATACGAATCCAGAAATCATCCCCGTCCAAGGATTCCGCGAATTCGCGAATAATACATATGCAACCTCACCGCGTTCATCCGTTCAGACCCTGAATCATTTAGTCAACCATCTCGGGTCCGATCGTCAAAGATTAACCGGTACCCGCGAGGGCTCCTCCGCCGATCTGAAAAGCCAACCGGACGTACCCCGCAATCGATCAAGGAGGCCTGCACCTAAACCAAGCGTCATCCCCCATCCTGGTACCGTCCACGTTAACCTGCATATACACAGGGGACGGCTGGGTGTCATCGTTAACCGCGTCCTCGCCTACCAGACACCCAACGTTATCGATCGGCAAACATTAATTTCCCGCGAATCGTATTTCAAGGCTTCACCCTGGCAATGCGCGTACAGCACCCACCCACCCCCACCCACGCTCCATCTTATTCCTATACACGATGTGTTATGCACAGGAATCGCACCCGTCCCAGACTACAGCAGTCCGGCCCACGCCACTCTAGGTCTAGCCCGGTAGAGCCGGGTCTGGTCCAAGTGGCCAGCAACGCGGTCTGAACGACCCGTTCCACCCTAATCTGACCTGGACTAGGTCTACTCCCTGGTCCACACCCTCAGTGCCACACAAAAGGTCAGTCCCACGGCCGCCTCCAGGGTGCATCGATGACGTTAACGTCGCGTTGCTATTTTCGCGGGTTCCTCGCGTATCGATCGATCACCTGGACATCGCCGGGCTGCCCCTGCGTCACAAACATTTACTTTCGACCGGTATGCAAATATTTGCAGTCTGCCAGCCGCGACGACGGGAACACGTCGTGCAACCTCATCCAGCTCCCACGCAGCGCTGCCAGACGTTCCCTGGGACCCAGGGCCTTCATCCACGTCAGGTTCCTTCGGACCTGCACGAGCTGTCCCTGAAGATTAATTAAATTCCCCAGACCCCCAACTCCCAGGTGTATCCGTTGCACGAGTGGATCTTTCAAAAGTTGTTATCACGTTGGTAATTGCCATCTCGGGCCGAGTCGCGTTATCTTCGTCTACTATCTACAATTTATGAGAAGCGCCTCGGAGTAACGTCTGTTTTATCGACAGTCGAGATCGAAAAGTGGGGCTAAGTTCTGAGATGCTCAGCATAGATACCTATGGCCGTGCACTTACTCGTCGCAAGTAGAAGAAAAAGGCAGATCCGCAACGAACGTTCGCTGCTACGAGCGACGACCGTTGAGGACCCACAGTGACGGTCTACAAAGGAGGGGGCCGAAGGACGCGTTGATAATAAAAAATTATAAAATTTTGACCGACCTCAGGAACAGCTTATCGGGCATAGGGAACAATTTTAGGGTAAGGGGTGAAGAAGGGGTGGAACCAGGAACCACTTTCATTTCCTCTGGATATTTTATTGGGGCAGTGTGGTGAGCGTTGCGGAAGCCGTGGAGGAACGTCACGCGGCCGGGAGGGGATGGCAGAGGGAAGGGTAGCCCGTGCAAAAGAGTTCCGAGCTGGTCGGACAGACGCGACGGCAAGGAAATAATTTACCTTGGCAATTACCTACGGGCCGGCTGCGACTCCTTATCAGAAGTAGGGAGTGTTTCAGAGAGTTGGTTTAGAGGTCAATCGGGCAACCATCGTCCAATACCCAGAGTACTCGGAATTGCCGTGAAATTGGCGAGAACAAGGGTGCGTCGAGAAATTCCAAGTCGACGTAAACTTAACGATTCGTCCATTATACCTGAAATACCTCAAATACGGCAGCTTACCAGGAAGCAATCTCAAAGAAATTTACTGCACTTCCTGATGACCGGGTCTTCCGTAGTATCGATCACGCGGGAGGAGATAGATATACGAATCGACTTTTTTTTAAAAATCCAAAATTCCTGTAACACCGTACGGTTGGACATCCAAATCCTGTAGCGAAGGAAGCAAGGAATAACGTAGTTGAATTGGACGAGAAGAATCATGGGAGGAATCAGATTCGCAGGATGAGGTGGTTGGAAAGAGCCCAAAGGAAGAATGCAGAACGTTGAGGTACCAAGTACCTCAGAGTACTCTCTATCGATTAAAGAGCGACGGCAGGCGTCGCGTACCAGGGCGAACGCGAAGTTTCAGGGGCTGCCACCCCTGACCCCTCTTCTTCCTCACCGCCAACTCCCAGCAA